TGTGTATGGATTGTGATAAAAGTTGTATGAGCCCCTAATAAAATGATTTTTAAAAAAGACCATTCCAAAACAGATTCATAATAAAATAAGTATATTGAAACAGTGCAAGTACTGGTTTACAGAGATAAACCCACTGTCACCAAGTCAATTCCAACTCAGTGATTCTATAGGGAAGTGTGGAATGGCCCTGGTGGGTTTCCGAGAGCAGAAGTCTTTACGGGAGCAAACAGCCCATCTTTTTCCAATAGAAGTTTTCTCAGAATGGTGGAATTTGTATAGACTTTAATATCAAACAAGTAGAAAACATTAGGAAAAAGAGTTCTATTATCGAATTTGGGTTCAGTTGAGCACCACATCGTGTAAAGTTGAGTTTTAGTTTTGCCACATTCTTTTTAAGTTCCGATACTCTAAGATGGCAGCCTGATTGATTAGTCCGAGCCTACAAGTCTCGATCTGAAAGAAGTTGGCGATCAGGGAAGAAGAAACTTGTTAAGTGTTAAAAATGCAGTATGAGGGTTCGATTCTACCTCAAGTTGCTGAGATGCAGCATTTTAGGATTGAAGCTCAAATTGAGCAGGTTCTTAAATTTCTCATTCCCTATATTGGTACAGGTATTGCTGGCATTTTAGATATAATGCGTAAAAATTAGCAACATTTCTAATAAAATGTCAGTCTAGAAGAACGAAATATCCATGAGAAATTAGTTCCAAATAGAGCTTTGAACGGATTCATTCTTTGTTTGACCCCCTTGCTGAGAATCTGCATTTCCACCACAGAAAGGCTGGACTAGAGCTCTGAGTGTTAACAAGTTCCCCAGCTGATTCTGTCTTAGGAGGCCTTTTTCAAACGAGATCTTGGAGGTGGCGGAGTGAGTTATAAGTTGGGCTGCTAATGTCAAGGTCAACAGTGTGAAACTACCAACCCCTCCTTGGAAGAAAGAAAGATGATGCTTTCTGCTCCCATAAAGAGTTGTATTCTTGGAAATACAGAGGGGCTGTTCTCAGCTCTATAGGGTCGCTATGAGTCAAACTTGATAATGGCTGTGAGTAAATGAGTGAGTGATGGAAATGCAAATTGCCAGCAAGGGGGTGGTTTGAACAGGAACAAACCTGTTTCCAATCACTGAAGTGTTACTGCCCTGGAAGTTTGGCCTTAAAATGCGCTCATCTTGTAGCTTACATTATTGTTTCTGATCACCCTTGTTGTGTAGCAGTCTCAACAACACAGATGGCCGCCATGGCTGGTGTTCTATAATGGGGACCACTTCTCATTTTCCTGCTGCAAGGAGGGCCTGGCAGCTGCCTTTCCTTTGCTATTTCTGTGGTCTGTCCTGGCCTGGACAGCTCATGAGGCCAGACTCTGGAAGCTTATTTTAGAGTTGAGGAACCAGGAAAGAATCCAGGGCCTAGGATCCTAAATTAGATTATTGCTAGTAAGTACTCTATTGTGGGTAAGAGTCATTAGAAAAAGCCAGAATACCGAGTCCAATGTGTAAAGAAAGCTTAGAACCAAACTAGGGAGCAAAAATCCTAAGGAAGCCCTGAATGATTGGCAGCTACCAAACACTGGAGAATGTCTTTGTCAGTGGAAATAGTTCCTCAACAATGATTGTGTTGGATCAATGGAAGGGTATGCTTGGAATCGATATCTTCTTTATCCAACAGACATTAGCAGGAAGAATCCTGGCAGTAGTAACCTTTGAACTGTAAAGAAAAATCTCATCTTTTACTGCACAGGCAAAGCTACCTTGGGGAGTGTTTGAATTCCTCT